TCCGATCTGGTTGTATAGAGTGCGTGCATGCTGGTTATAGGGTGAGTGAGACTGTGTGGGTATCATGGGTATGTAGAGTATGTGTGAGTGCTGGTGGTATTGTGCATGTGTGTTTGCTGATTGTATAGAGAGGGTGTATGTGTTTGTGTTCCAGAGAGTGTTTGGGTGCTGGTAGTGTAGATTGTGTGTGTGTGCTAGTTGAACAGTATTTGCATGTGCGGGTGTACAAATTGTGTGTGTAAATGCTGGTTTGACTTCCGTGAGTGTATCTGCTGGTTGTACAGAATTGGGGTGTGAATTGGTACACTAGAGTGTGTGCATGCTGGTTATAGCGTGTGAGTGTGTGTGCTGGTGGTACAGAGCATTTGTGGGTGCGCTAGTTGCATAATGCGTGTGTGTGCTGGTGATTTTGAGTGCGTGTATGTTTTGGTTGTACAGGGTGTTTGTGCATGCTGGATGTCTAGAGTGTGTGTGGGCTGATTGCAGGTGTGTGTGTGTTTCTGTGTGATGGTTGTACAGAGATTGTCTCGGAGCTGGTTGTATAGAGTGTGTGCATGGTGGTTGTAGAGTGAGTGGGACTGTGTGGGTATCATGGGTATGTAGAGTATGTGTGAGACGCTGGTGGTATTGAGTATGTGTGCTTGGGTTGGGCCGGGATGTGACTATGTGTTTGTTGTACAGAGAGTGTTTGGGTGCTGGTTGTGTGGAGAGCGTATGTGTGCTTGCTGGAAAGTATTTGCGTGTGCTAGTGTTCAAAGTGTGAGTGTAAATGCTGGTTTGATCCAGTGTGTGTATCTGCTGGTTGTTTGGAATTTCTATGTGAACCAGTTCTATAGAGCGTGTGCATGCTGGTTATAGCGTGTGAGTGTGTGTGGTGGTTGTACAGAGTGCTTGTGTATGCTGGTTGTGTTGAGGGCGGTGAGCTGATAGTTGTATGGAGTTTGTGCGCGTGTGGTGCATGTCGAGTGTGTGTGTGCGCACTTGTGGCGGATAGAGTTTTCACCCTGATGGCACCACACACCATCATGAACCCTCTCCAACCTCTTTGCTTCTTAATGTGCGCATTCGAAACCACCCTGCCGTCGTTATGCAGGTTTCCGTAGTAATCCTTGAGGGTCTCATTACGGACGCACACATGTATGTGTTGCGTTTCTTCGTGAAATGGTTCGACACGTATTTTCGCGCATCAACATTCACAGAAGCGAAGTTGACCGCTTACGTCAAGGAGACCGCCGAGTACGTATCATGCAAACTGGTTTGTGGCTGAGGTTATGCACGGAATGAGTGTTGATAAACCCTAACCATACTGTGTTATCTTTTGTACCTATCCATTGCCAACCCTCCAGATTGGTTGAGCTCTTACACAAACATCTGAAGCGTACAGGAGACGGATGGCAGTTGCCGAAAATCCATTTGCTAACGCATTTTCCAGATTCTGTCCGACGTGGTGGGGCCCCTAATGAGTACTGCACGGGCCTGTATGAGCATGCACACACCACCACATGCAAGCAATCATTCCGTGCCTCTAATTTCCGCCAGTACGATGAAGCGATTTTGCGCAGTGTCCAATTGAGAAACATGCTCAGCCAACGTGAATCAGCTATCGGTGGCTCGTCAACCTACGAGACCGCGTTACTGAAGGTGAGGTTCCAACGCTAGCGTCTATAAAATAATTCCAATGGTTCTTCCTTTGAACTTCCAAGTGCACGCGTTCTTCTAACCTTTGCCTGTACAATTTGTCTTGGATTTGAGATGTCTCGAAGTTTTGATTCGTTTATACTACCACAGGCGGACCGTGTTCGTTCGAGCGTGCTAACAAAGACGTATGATACAGTGGACCTGCCTGCGGGGGACCAAGCAAGAAGAGGGGCATCAACTTGGCAGGGATATGTGCAGTGCCATGGAGATAGTATGCAGTACCTTCCGGCATGCCTCGAGGAGCTGGGCCTATCAGCCAGCGCCATACATGTGAGTGTAGTGTGTGATTGTTGTCTTGTGTGTGTGTGTTTGTGTGTGTATGTGTGTGTGTGTGTGTGCATGTGTGTGTGTGTGTGTATGTGTGTATGTGTGTGTGTATGTGTGTGTGTGTGTGTGTGTGTGTGTGTGTGTGTGTGTGTGTGTGTGTGTGTGTGTGTGTGTGTGTGTGTGTGTGTGTGTGTGTGTGTGTGTGTGTGTGTGTGTGTGTGTGTGTGTGTGTGTGTGTGTGTGTGTGTGTGTGTGTGTGTGTGTGTGTGTGTGTGTGTGTGTGTGTGTGTGTGTGTGTGTGTGTGTGTGTGTGTGTGTGTGTGTGTGTGTGTGTGTGTGTGTGTGTGTGTGTGTGTGTGTGTGTGTGTGTGTGTGTGTGTGTGTGTGTGTGTGTGTGCGCGTGCGTGCGTGCGTGCGTGCGTGCGTGCGTGCGTGCGTGCGTGCGTGCGTGCGTGCGTGCGTGCGTGCGTGCGTGCGTGCGTGCGTGCGTGTGTGCGTGCGTGCGTGTGTGTGTGTGCGTGTGTGTGTGTGTGTGTGCTTGTACAATGTATGTGTCTGCCTTGGTTGTACAAGATGTCTGTATGCTCAACCATGTATTATGTTATGCACACGTGTCATTCCATTTTCTTTTCCATCGGTTGTGCATCCCTGCCTTTCAGGTCCATTCAGCACTTGCCATTCCAGCAAACGGAGAGAGGGAGGCACACTATGTTCGCGCAACACCTAGCTTCCATGGGTCACCCGCATTTTCACGTGTTGCCATACTTCAGACTGTTACAGACCCATTCGGGCAGCAGGAGAACATCACAACATATGCAGACCTGCTCATGCTTTTCCACGTAGGCACTCGACGAGAGGATGGTGAGCCTACGGCGCTGGCGTACGTGCGATTGTATGAGACGGGTGGAGTGGACGAGAAGACTTCATGCGTGCAGCTCTTTTTGAGGGATATGCATCTCCGACACTACGTCATTGATGCACGGTCCATTTTGCGCTCCGTCCATATTGTGCGATCATACCGGGATCGGTCAACCTTCATCCTCAATCGCTATGTTGCATCGTAGACAATGCTGTTATGTTCTTATGTTCAAAACACTCTCAATTGTTGAAGGTGCATGGCGCAACTGACTACCGACCCTACAACTTGTGTTGACTATAAATATTTTCGATTAAAGGCATTAGCAGTAAACAAAAGGCAAAACTCCGCTCACTGTGGTTTTCTTTTTATTTTATCCGAAGTATATTATCAATGCAATATTTAGATACTTCATACTTTGACTTATGTGGGACTTGTTCAAAACTTCTTACGTATGGAACGTAATAATTTCACTAAGAGTGTTTACAAACAATGTAATAATATTACATTTTTTTAGCGCCAACACAGCAGATTAGGTCAAGACCTACAGCCAATGGGTCACCAGCGCCATGTTCCTGGCCTCCCTCACAGCTCCCGAAGCTGAAATGTCCAGCCGAGCACGCAAACCAAGCTGCTCGACCACTGGGGGGAGTTCCGACGCTGACAGCTTAGCTGCCCGAAGCACTTTCGAGAATTCCGAAGCTGCCTGGGCTGATTTCGTTTCGACGCGACGCGTCGAAAGTATGTTTCCCCACTCGGTTCATTTTGTTACTCCCGTCATACTCCTCAAAACCATACTTTTCGAGACCCCCCTTTTTTGGGATGCGAGGACGAGCGCGGGTCGCCGCGACGTGTGGGCCATGGCTGCTTTGCGGGAAAATATTAGCGCAGTGGTAGCTGGGTATTGTCGGATGATTCGAATGGTCGAAAGAAATGAAGAGATGAGATAACCTGCTGAGGTCTGGCTGCTTTTATAGTCAGCTGAGGTGGTTTGTCGATAGTACCACCATCGTACATCGTCGCTACTACTCCGCGCTATTCGGCGTGGTACGCGGCGGTGCTAGTACACTACTACTACTCGGCGTGTCACACGCTACTGCCATCAGGTTGCCCGCCCAGACGTTTGCGATCTGCCGAGTCCCAGGTTTCAGGTCTGGTTCTTGCCAATGCGCTCGACACTCCGACCCAGATCCCAAATCGCCTGGCCATAAAATGTCTTCAGCATCAAATTGCTGGAGAAGCCCGGAGTTTGCTGCCGCATGTCACGCTGCCATGAAAATCGTCAGGGGAGCGAGCCTATAGCACCTTTCTCAACCATTCAAAAAACCAAACAGGAGTTTCAGAGTGTCGCATCATCCTGCGACGCGACACAAGAAGTTTCTAGAGCCATCTGGTGCCCGCCAGGCTTGTTCAGGGTATCGCCGCACCTCCGCGAGTTATTTGAGAGTACAGGTTGCGACAGAACAGAGTTCGCCACTGCCATACTTCGATAAAACACGATTCGTGGTTTGAAGCTAGGTTAGGCCTATTTCAGAATTCCCATACAAACAGCATAAACAAGAAAGTCCAGATGGTCCCAGCAAGGCCCATTCAGTGGTCTCTGTTCAAGTATGTACGACAGTCACACTTCGTGGGTATTCCAGTAACAGATTGCTTAGGTTACTATACACGGCAGCAGTGTCTGGGGATGGGAACGGTTAGGAAATGCTTATGGTTATGGCACTTGTCAGAATCCCAGCCACTAACCACTAGGATAAAAGGGCTTGTTTGTGTAGCGGGTGAGTGCGCCCATAACCCCCCAGGCCGACGTGCCTGTAACCCTTCCCTAGGATCATCGGGGATCACCAGTGGACCTCTGACACCCCCCCGCACTGGGATGCCCGAAGTGCACACACCGGGAATCGAACCCGAGACCTTCGCTCTGATACCATGTCAGAATCCCAGCCACTAACCACTGGGATAAAAGGGCTTGTTTATATAGCGGGTGAGTGCGCCCATAACCCCCCAGGCCGACGTGCCTGTAACCCTTCCCTAGGATCATCGGGGATCCCCAGTGGACCTCTGACAGCACTATCCCATAATCATCGTAGCACCAGAAACTATACACTACATGGATGACACCATAAGGTCGCCAGTACAAGTGAGGCACTCTTACTATACATACATACACCGGCCAATGCTAATCCGACCCCACATGCATGACATAGAGCAGCAGAGTGGCCATCCACAGCATGCCCATGAGCCCGCCTGCTTGAGAGAAGTCCCACGCGGCGGTGTGCGAGAGCAGCCAGAGGAACATGCGGTGCGTCCTCATGATTGCAGGCGGCGGTGGGCGGGCACAGCGCTTGCAGAGCGGACAGAGGGGCTTCTTCATGAGCCACTCGTCGATGCATGCCGTGTGGAACCCTGCCAGGTGGACACATGGGAGGGAATAGCAAGTAGTATGAGTGTGTGTGAGTGTATGTATTTGTGGGCAGAGAGGCTTCTTCATGAGCCACTCGTCGATGCATGCTGTGTGGAACCCTGCGACATGTGCAAGAGAGGGGAAGGGGGGTGTGGGGAGAGGCACGGTGGAGTGACCATGTGTGTGCACGTGTGAGTGAGTGTGCTTGCAGAGCGGGCAGAGGGGCTTCTTCATGAGCCACTCGTGGATACAGGCGGTGTGGAACGGTTGACATCTTGTAGGGGGAGAGGCATGGCAGAGGTGGTGTGAGAAAATGCGTGTGTGTGCGCGCATGCACGTGTGTAGGCGAGCCGCTGTGCATGTGTGAGAGTGCGTGCGCGTGCGTTTGTGTGCGTTTGTGTGTGTGTGTGTGTGTGTTGGCATGGCAACACAACACCCCACTCACTGTGTTGGCACGGCAGTATTCTCAGCTGGTCGCCGCTCTTAAAGCCATCGAAGCAGATGGTGCACGGGTCTTCCTCCCCACTTTCTGTTCTCACAACCTTTCGCCCTAATCCTCCACTGCATTCCAAACCCCTACCCGCATCCCCACTTCTATCCCCGTGTTCACCCCCCTCCCCCTCCCGCTCGCCCTCCCCCTCCCCATCCACCTGCACGCGCCACTCTCCCCGTTCTCTGCTGCCCTGAGCCAGCAGCTGGGACCGCTCCTCTTCCCCCTCCTCTCCCTCCTCTTCCTCCACCTCACACCGCCCTGCTCCCCCTCCTGCCGTCCCAGCCCTTGCGGCAGCCCCTACAGGCACCGCCGCTGCTGCAGCAGCCACTAACGGCTGCTGCTCTTCCCCCTCGCCTCCTTCCAGGGCTACTTCTGCTCCCTCCTCACCGCTCGACCCACCGCCTTCACCCTCCTCCCCCGCGCGAACCACGTTCCCCGCTCCCCCCTCCGCTGCACCTCTCTCCGCGGCTGCTCCCAGCGCGAGTCGTCTATCTCCGCCCTCGCTTGAAGACCCTACAGGCCCACCTGGGAGCCTCCTCTTAATTAGCCCCTCTGTACAATCACCATCTGTACAATCAGTCACACAATCCACCCCGCCCTCCTCCTCCTCCTTCTGCTCTTGCTGTTCCTGTTGCTGCCATTGGTCTCCGCCGCACCCCTCCCCACCGTACACCACCTGCGGCAGCGCCGCCAGCTCCTCCGCCGTCATTGGCCCCAGGAACACCATCCCTTCCTCCGCCCCTTCCCCCTCCCCCCCTTCCCCATTCTCTCCGTCCCCTCCCCCTTCGCCCCCCACGGCCCGGGGAACCCCGCCGCACAACAGCGCGAGCCACGGGCGGACGAATGCGCGGAAAAAGGGAGGGATGAAGTAGCTGAGGTGGCCCGCGCGGCGGGGGCGGCAGGCGTTGCGGAGCAGCGCGAGGGCGTCGAAGACGAGCGCGGGCGGGAGGAAGAGCGCCGTGAAGAGCGCCACTTGCGCCGCCGTGTACGCGACGAGCGCGTGGTTCAGCGCCTCCGCGCACGCCTCCGAGTAGTCGCGCGCGGTGGCCGCCGCCAGGTGCGCGGAGCTGGCGAGCACCTGGCGGAGCGCGAGCGGAAGGAGCAGCACGAGCGTGGCGCAGAGCGCGAAGAAACCGAAGACGGCGTAGTGCGGAAAGTCGTCCATCTCGTCGCCGTCGCCGTCGCCGTCGCCCAGCCGGCTGCCGCTGATGCCGCCGTCGCTGCTGCCGTCGCCGCTCCCGTCGCTGCCGTCGCTGTTGTCGCTCCACGGTTGAGTGCTGTCGCCGGAATCAAGGTTGAGAGGTTCGAAGTTGAGAGGTTCGAAATCCGCTGCTGTGGACGCAGCGGCATCCGTCGAAAAATAATCCGTGCCATCCCCGCCCTCAGTTTCAGGGGAAGCAGAATCGCCTTCACTGTAGTCACCTTCATCTTTATCACTGGGGCCTACGCGCAAGAACAAGCGATGCCGGCTGCTGGGTCGCGTGACAGTAACAGGTTGCGTGACAAGAACGGGTTGCGTGACAATAACGGAGTGCGTAGAAGCTAAAGGCTCCGCGACCGAAGCGAGTTGCGTGGCCGCAGGAATGCCGGCACCAGCCGGGTGGAAGCTGAAAGCCAAGAGAAGCGACACGACGACGAGCAGACGAATCGGTGCGCGCGAGAAATGCGCCGCAGGCAGTCGTGCGAGAGGCATGGCTGGAACGCAAGGACCTAGGTGACCGTTGAGTCGACTCGAAAGGACACAACGACCTCTCACGTCGACTGACTCAGCGGTTGTATCGATCGCGAGTTGAGCAGCTATGCGATGCTCGCTGGCTCGCGATCAGGAATCATCTACAGCACGCACGGAAGCGTGATTCATCTACAGCACGCACGGAAGCGTGATTCATCTATGGCACAACTCGCAAATGCACACCACTGGAGCGGGGAAGGACTGTATGAGCAATAAAAGAGTAACGCCCTGGTCCCTCCCGAGCATCAACGCGTTCCGCAGCCTTCAACGGAGTACAATCCGAGTCAGGGCGTATTCCTGACTTCGGGTCATCCGGTGTTCGGGTCATCCGAAAATTGTGGTAGCCAATCGGAAACCCCGCGGTTTGAGCCTGGATGCCGCGCTCGGTTTCCCAGCTTGCAAAACCAGTCCCATTTCACAACACATAATGCACTCGATTTTCAACCGAAAAAATTGCAAACTGAACCACGGCCACAAATCAACTCCTGCTGCCTCAAATGCTGGTAACAAGGTTTACCTACGTCGAGCGAGCGAGTTGTTCTTCGACAATGCAGATTCAGTCGCCCAAACGGGGCCACAAATCAAACCCCAGTTACCCATTCGACCAGTTTAGCATTCGCGAACCCAATGTATTCGTCCCAATTCAATTCGCATGGGCGGGATGTTGTGTCCGCGTAGGCCTGGCAGTTCGTCTGTGCGGGAACCCAAATCCGCGTAGACCCTCCAGGACATGGCACGTGCTTGTGTTCGGATACCCTGCTTGAAACCCGGACGTATGGCAATTCAATCCGAGGTTGCCAACCGCCAAATTGATATGAGTTGGACCCGCCCTAAAGTCACGAAAGCTGTGCTGTCGCCGAGCTCAAGCCTCCATGTGTCTCAGCTTCCGAAACCAAAGCTATGACCAACGAAATGCTCCGTGGATGGCTCTTCTGACCTTCCCTTCTCCCATGTTCCAAAGTTCAGCATTGGCCATCAGGGCACTGGGCGATGCATGGAGAGAGCAAGCGAAACCCTAGGCTGGCTCCTTGGACATTCGTGTTCATGTTCGTGGTGTGAGCAGCCCGCCCACGAGTGCACGAAACGAACCACCGAATTCAAGCCTGTAGGAGAAGTCAAGTCAACCACTTGTGGTGTTTGCGTGGCGTAGCCCTACAATGACGGACAATTTCGCAAGCATTTGATTGGCTCAGCCTAGCTGTGTGGCATGTTTCATCTCTGCAGAAATCGACTCTGTTCGCTGGGTGTGGTTTTTGAAAATCGTCATGCTCGTTCACGTCGTGAAAACCATTTCGCAGGGGCCACATGTGGAAGATTCTGAGCCCAGTGCATCTCACAGAGTTTACCAGCGCCGGGTCGATTGGCTCTCCCTTTATGGAAGCTGAACACCGCCCTTAGGACGTGTGTGAAATTAATTTTTATGAAAGTTCATGTTTTTGACTCGATTTTAGCAGGTCTTAATAACCTGAACTTGACTCGATTTTGAGTTGTGGCAATGTTCGAACCGCTGGTGAGCATGCTTGTAGATTCACAATCACACACGTAGGTGCGAATTTGCAAGTTCGAATTCACAAGGGGGGACCCGAGCCGCATGGGGGGACTGTAGGTTACCCGGTTTCAATCACACCACAGCGCGACACGTCACCGGAGCGCTGCACACAAAAGTGAGCCCTAGACCTCCAGCTCAACTCCGCAGAAGGGGTGGTTGTGCACGATACAAATATCTCCCGAATGAACAACATTCCAAGTCAGCAACGCACAATGACTCTCATTTTGAGAGGCTGACATGATTGAAACTGTCTATGTTGTGGGCACGGTGTGAAAGAGTGCTATACCACCTATTTAATGCTCAGGGGTTGATGTCGGGGAGAAATTGGGGGTCGATGGAGTTGTGAGGAATGTTGGCGGGATTTCGTGGCCTCATCGTGTGCCCCAGGAGATACGCGCGCATGACCGGCCATCGTGGCACGTCGGGTGCCACGTGATGGGCCTAGCGAGTTCAGCAATGTGTAGGGTCTTGGTTGTGATCCCATTGGCGTACGAAAGAGTCGCGAGATTCGCTGGAACCTCGTACGTGGCTGACACCACACACGTTCGGTTCTTTGTGTTTGCCGAAGTTTGATAATTCTTCTCTATCGTGTTCTCAATTGAGGGTTCGCACTTCCCAAACGTGGTAATACTTTCGGATTTGGCGAAAAATCAGGCGAAATGTGGCGAAGAGGGTAACCATACGAAGTTCGACCCCGATTACGAACTCCATCCAATCTCACACACGTCCTTACCCAAAGCTCCCATGTGCGGCACAAAACCCCTTCCCCCTCCAACTAGCGCCCTCTGTTTCTGGAAACCCCGCTGAACCCTAATACGGCCCTCTTTGCTCCTCACCGCTCCACTTAATCCGGCGCGCACTTTTTCCGTCTCCGCCGCGCCCTTGCGTGCCCTCTCGCTGCGTGTAAACTATTTTGTTAGGAAGTCGCGCTGCGTCCGCGTTGCTGAATTCCTCGATTTTTATTTTTTATATTCACAGCCGGCAGCCGTCATGTTTCTTCAGGTGTATATTAACGACGAGGGCAAGAAGGTCTACACTCTCCAAGTAAGTCCGTATCTGTATTATTTCTCGCAGCTTCGCCGTCGCAAGAGCTATTCCTATGCTTTCGTCGTCGGATGGTGCGGGATGATGCGTACGATGCGGCATGATGCGGCATCATGGGGCATGAGGCAGCAATGTGGCTTTTTAATACAGCTGTCATTCAGAATCGTATCGAAGTGCGTGTGACGGTGTATGTTGCCCTCCCTCCCCTCCCCCCGTGACTGCGCGCAGAGAATGGAGCCCGACGGCTCCAAGCCCACGCAGTCAGCACACCCAGGTCCGTGCGCTGCTCCCCCTCCCCTTCGCTCCCCCCCACTTTCCTTCGCTGCTCCCCTCCTCGCTGCTCCCCCAATCGCTGCTCCCCCCTTCGCCGCTGGCCTCCTCGCGGCGTGTCGAGCGCGCCCACTAGCTATTCTCCCTAGACTTCTCCTCCTGCCGTTTTCATCAAACCCCTTCCTGTTCTATCCCCCGTCGCACATTTGTCGCTCTTTTAAGGCTCCACCGACCGTTGTCGTTCGTGAGACGACCAATAAAATGGGTCGCACCCCACCCCTCTCTCTGCTTCTTGTCAAGCGCGCCCTGACGATGCGTTTTTTAGTAGTGAGTGTGTACAGGCGCGAAAAAACACGAGGGTTACCTTCGAGCATTAAAAGGGGACGCATTCAAGTATGGTTGTTTTGAGTCATGCTCTCCTGCTCTAGCTCCCCGTGCCCTGCGTCACTGGGTCGAAACTGGGGTCATCATTCTCACCCATCCACCCGTTCCCACCCACCCATACTCACCCATACCCACCCATACCCACCATGCTCACCCACCCACCCACCCACCCCCAATCCTCCCAGCCTTCCCCATCCCCTCCCCACCTATTTCCACGTATTCCCATATCCACCCTTCTTTCACCCACCAGCGCGCTTCTCCCCAGACAACAAATACTGGAAGCAGAGGGTGCCATGCACGCCAGGTCTCCCATCATCTTCACTCCTCCCCACCTCCCTTAACTCCTCCCCACCTTCCTCAACCCCTCCCCATCCAATCCTGCTTATCCTGACCCTGCTGTTCCCCACCATCGCGCTTCTCCCCGGATGACAAGTACTCAAAGCAGAGGGCGGCATACAAGTCAGGTCTCCCATCATCCCCACCCCTCCCCACCTTTCTCAACCTCTCCCCACATATTCCCACATGTCCCCACCCATCCCCACTCTGTATTTCCCCCACCAGCGCGCTTCTCCCCGGACGACAAGTACTCGAAGCAGAGGGTGGCATGCAAGTCAATAAACCAGCTCTACCAACGTCCTCACCCATCCCCACCCTTTCTCACCCTTCTTCCCCCACCAGCGCGCTTCTCCCCGGACGACAAGTACTCGAAGCAGAGGGTGGCATGCAAGTCGCGCTTCAAGCTCCTGCCCTCGCAGCAGCAGCCCTACAAGTACTGATCATCACACCCCTGCCCTGCGTTGCACCGCGCTGCTGCTGTAACGCTACGCTACCCTACACTACACCCTGAATTCTTCGTACCTTGGCTCTGCACTGGAGTGTGTATGCTTCGCACTGTGCTGCTGCTCCTGTACCTGCGCTCATACAGCACAAGCATCAGAAGCAGGACATGCATTGGATCCCCACAGACGACTGACAGGGGGTCGACGTGGCTGTATGCCTCTCTTGTTATGAGTTGCTTTGCCAGGAAGGGTATGTCTCAGGTCTTGTGCATGTTATGGTTTCCTGGTTTCTATATTGCAAATAGGCGAAATGTGGCAATGGCATACACACTGGCATTACTGAACCGACATGATGCCTCTACTACCGTAATCCCCCGTATATAAGACCCTAGGGTATTATGATAATCACCCCTAAAAAGGCTGGGGGGTATAATTAAATGGTGTATTTTTTATAAGACCCGGGTCTTTTCATTTTGACATTTATAAGAATGCAGTTTGGAGCTCAAAGAAGTGATTTGTAATTGCTCCGTTTTTAGCTCCTGATGTATCACATTTTTCGAAGGGCTAACATTCGCCCCCACACATTCTGCCTCACACATTCGCCCTCGGGTCGGGTCACAGCAGGGAATTGTACTGTCAGGACAGGGATTCGCCCTGCCAGGGAAGAGATTCGCCTTGTCAGGGTAGAGATTCGCCCTGTCAAAAAGAGATTCGCCCCGTCAGGGCACAGATTCGCCATGTCACTGTCCGAAATCGCGCTATTATATGTTTCAGATTCAGAAAGAACTGGAAACACGTTTCTGATGGATCAGATGAAATCAAAAAACCATTTCTGATCGATCAGATAAAATATAAACCCAATTTCTGAAGAAAAATCAGATTTGCACAAAAAAACAACATGGAATATGACCATTTTCACTTGCGTTTTCTTAAATTCCGCACTTGTCTAGGATGTGGGGGGGGGTCTTATAATGTTAGGAGCCATTTAGGGGGGTACAACTCAGATGTACTCGAATAAAATACCCGGGTCCGTATTATAGACCCGGGGGTCTACAACTGGGGGGGGTCCTATATACGGGGGATTACGGTAAGATAGGTACAGCAGACTAGAATGGTATTTCTGCTAAGGTTGGTGAGAACAGATGCAGGGAGTGCAAAGCCCAACAGCATGCCAGAATGCATGCTCTAATGCATGCCTGCCTCACACCCTGCCACCCGAATTGGTTCATCCTTCCTACCTTCAGTACATTGGGTTGACCAATGACCATATCAGTTTCGGCGCCACTATGGAAACCCGTCTCTTTTGTGGGCCGATCATAGCCCATGCTCCAACCATCTTCCTAACTCTGAAGCCTGTGAACCTTCGGTTCACATCGGTCCATCATCTGACGGGCTTGGAGTCGATCTCCTCTGCCCTGGGCAGCATCTTGGCCAGAGTCTCAATGTACCCTGCTTCCTTGGCCTGCACGCAGTGCATTACCATGTGTGTTCAATGAGAGGAGGGAAGGGGATGAGAGGAGGGGGCTTGGCACTGCGGTCTCAAAGGGCTTGGAGTAGATCTCCTCTGCCCTGGGCAGCATCTTTGCGAGAGTCTCAATGTACCCTGCCTCCTTGGCCTGCATTCAGTGCATGCACACACGTGTTGCAAGGAGGGAAGGAGGGAGGGTTATGAGAGTGGGCTTCGGTTTGAGTTTATGTTGCTTCCTTGGCCTGCAAGCAGTACAAGGTGACATTTGGGTCGACTCAAAAGTCCAGCAGTACATGCAGATGCTTGATTCAAGAGAGGGAGCAGAATGCATGCACGTGTCTGTTGCAAGGAGGGGAGGGGAGAAGGGATGAGAGGAGAGGGCTTGGCTTGGAGTCTCAATGTACCCTGCCTCCTTAGCCTGCACTCAGCACATAACCACGCAGGTACATGTGTGGAGGAGGGTAGGGGAGGAAGGGGATGAGAGCTCAGTGTGTCCTGCTTCCTCTGCCTTGAACGGCAAAGAGGGGAGCGCAGAGAGAGGGCGATACATGAAGGAGGCATGCGGGGAGTGAGGAGGGGAAAGGAGATTACAGGGATGAAAGAAATGGTGTTACAGGGTGAAGAATGAGAGGGAGAGGAGATTGCGTACACCCCTTTTGATACATTAGCATTTTGAGGGTGCACTTGCACAGGCAGCCCACTAGCACAGGCGCATAACCTCTCAGCCTAGCCACTCACACAGGGGTTGCGCTCAAAGTAGATTGTGACGAGCCTACACCTTAACCCTAAACCCTAGACTCTGGGCCTGCAACCTAACCTTTAAACCCAGAACCCCTGGCTTTCAACTCAAATCCTAAAACCCTGGGTTCGTAAACTCACACAGGGGTTGCGTTCGAGGTAGAGAGTGACGAGCGACGCCTTGGGCCCGTCCAGTGCGGCCATGAGTTGCTGGAGTGACTCGATGCGGTTGTCGTTCAACCACAGGTCCTCCAGGCTGGTGGGAGCGTAGGGTGAGGGATGAGGACATGGGTGCATCGCAAGAGGGCATGAGGGTTGGTGCAGTGAGCCCACAGTCCAGGTGGTGAGTGCAGGAAGCACCAGGTGGTGAGCATGGGGGTGCAGTGCGGTGCACGTAGGGCACGCAGCACAGCACGTGAAGAAGAATGGTACAGGAGGGCCATGGCGTGGCGCTAACAGCGCAGCGAGGCGCAACATGGTGAGGGTGAGGCATGGGGGAGCACTGCAGTGCAGCAAGTAGCACGTTTGCAACAAAAGATGTGCAACCGGTGAGGGTGAAGCACTTACTGGCTGGATCAAGCGTGCCTGGTAAGGGTGTGTAGCCTACCTGACGAGCATGTGTACCCCACCTGGTGAGGGTATCTAGCCCACCTGGTGAGGGTATCTAGCCAACCTGGTGAGGGGGTATCTAGCCCACCTGGTGAGGGTATCTAGCCAACCTGGTGAGGGTATCTAGCCCACCTGGTGAGGGTATCTAGCCCACCTGGTGAGGGTATCTAGCCAACCTGGTGAGGGTGTCTA